TAATAACCGTTAGATGAGAAAATGAACGATTAAGATGAGTTAGCATAGTTTGCACAAAATATTGGGTTAGTATTTGAACCAGCCCCTATATATATATATATATATATATATATTTTTGATATTTGAATGTTAGATGTGGTTTTAAAAACCAAAATATAGGTTTTTTGTTGCATGTTTCTTCTAATTAATAATATTGATTAATATAGGGTTCATTAAACGGTTTAGAAGTTTACAGTGTCATTTTTATGATTTATAATTTTACCAATTGTATCATAGGGTTCGATTTGCGGGTTTTAATTACAAAACCATGGTTCAAAATTGCACTCCGGAACGGTTTTTTTTTTATATTTATACTTATATTTTATGCTTTTACTAAAAATATGCATAAAAACTTTATAAATACGCATATTAATTTTTATTAATCGATAACCAATAAAATCCAAACCAAACGCACCCTTAGAGTTATGGCTATTTTTAAACTTCAACTATCGTTTTCTCAGTGTAAACAGTATTTACATATCTATCTTCACATCTCATCAGTTCAGTTTACAACTTCATGTCTTCTACCTTCGTAGAGTTTTTAATTTGTTTTAACTTGTATGCATTTGTATATAGTTATGTCTACTGACATTTTGTATCGTATAAACATGCAGAAGTTGAATTTCTTTTTAGACCAACAGTATTGTGAAGGTGTTTGCAGTGCGGTGCGGTTTAGAGAGCCAAAACAGCAAAACGAACGGCTTATTCTTAAAACCCCAAATTTTGCAATACGGTAGCACACCATAATACCAACAATTATATCACCGTAAGCTCAAAATAAAATCGATTATGACATGACCATACAATAAGAAGTTTAATACATCTCAAATAGATAATACAAATGATCGAAAAAAGATATGTACATTCAATAAAAAGTTCAAATATGTTCTACATACATAATATAAACTAGTCGAAAATAAACTAAAATTGTTCATAATTAATTAAAGGGAAAATTGCATCAAAATGAAAACCAACTTTCACCTGATTCCTATTTTGAGGAATCAAGTTTCAAAATCGTCATTTAGAGGTCTCTATCAAACTTTTTATTTATTTAAGGGTCTGGTTGACCTGTTGACCTGTTAATGCTGATATCATTCAGATTTTTTGCCAACTAAGATATTTCACGTCATATTAAATTTTTATTTTAAAATTAACATTTCACGTCATATTTAAAATTGCAAAATAATTATAGAAAAATAACTAAAATTCATTTTTTTTCCAAAAATTAATGCAATAAAATCTATTTTTCATTTCAAATCTCGTTTTTTTTAATTCATATATCAAATTGAAAATTTTAAAAAAAATCCAAATCACCACAATAAAAATTGTTTTTTACTAATGCAATAAAAAATCAATTTAATAGAAAAAAATTTAATTGATGCAATAAAAAATATATTAAATCTCACATTCAAGATTTTTATATCCAACCAATCCGTATCAATATTAAAATTTAAATCAAATTTGGAAATCAAACCAAAAGTTTGATAGAGACCCTTAAATTACATGTTACTTGTTCAACAGGTCAACCAGACCCTTAAATAAAAGAAAAGTTTGATAGAGACCCCTAAATGACGATTTTAAAAGTTGGTTCCCCAAAATAAGATTGAGGTGAAAGTTGGTTCCATTTTGATACAATTTTCCTTCAATTAAAATACATAATATAAAATGCCAAACTCCTAATATGATTAGGTCTTGTAAACTCAAGTAGTAACTGAATATCCTAAGTAAGTCGATTTGGGTTGTTTTGTTTTGTTAAGGAACCACGATAGTGGGTTGTTCTCCATAGCTTATATAACAATTATAAGCGATGAATCGAACATTAGTAAGCATACATGTGGTAATTTCGATATATTAACTAAAACTATGTCCATTTATATCATATTTTATGGTTAACAAGTCAAACAGATAAAAGAAATAAAAAAAAACTAGCTAAAAAGATGGGTTTAACATGTCAAGATATATGTTTAAATGCATACAATCTCTTAAACCACCAAACTAAAAAAATATTTGATATATTAATCATCGATAAAAAAAATCAAAGACAAAAAGCAGTTGAACAATTTCGATTTGACCCATTTCAACCTAATATTACTCGATCTAATTCATTATATACCATTTTGTCGCCTCGTGTAAAGGGCTTGGAGTGCAAACTTGACGACTTACGGAAGTTCTTGGTCACGTAACTCATTTTTTTTTGCATCAAACATCAAGTTCCATGGTGAACTTGTAAAGTTCAAAGAGTGATTCGCGGTTTGAAAAAAAAGTGTTATGTTTAAACTTATTTTCTTACGAAATGTTTAGTATTTAAAAAATCACCCTTTTGATGGTTGTTTTCACATGAAAAGAAATTTATACAAACTGGGTTTGTAATAACGTATGCTATTCATGTGATGATTATTGGAAAAAAATGAATTCGAAAAGAAACATAGAAACAGTTCGCAACAAGTCTTGGAAAACAAGAGTTATTGAAAGCATAAAAGACTCAAATACCTCGACACCAATCAAACATACGTTTTCAGGAACTACTCATTTGGAGTGAATAGCATCACGCAAAGCACATTTCATATTGACAAAAATAACTGATATAATAACACTGTTAAATCAAATAATGGAATTAATATGTATTACATAATCAATGTGTTATGAAATACAATTACAGAAAATAGGGAAGAGGGTGGCGAGAGTTAGGAGCTTTAAAATCTGAAAATTATAAATCTACCTGTTAAAAGTCAACATAAATAATTAAGACTTTTTAGACACGAATTTACCTTTCGAACTCAACTTAGGGGATAATTGAAGTCAACAAAATTGGTGGAGATTAACCCAAAATTGTTAGAAATTAACACAACCTGTTAGAAGTCAGCTAAAAATCTACCACAACTTGTGTCAAGAACAACAATAATATGCTACAGGTAGGGGAATTTGCATACTATTAAACCAAACCAAACAAACCCAATAAATCTCACACAATGAAGGTGTCTGAGAAGGGTAGGATGTGTTTAGATCTTACCTCCATCTCCGAGGAGTAGAGAGGAGTTGTTTTCGTGAAAACTCTCAACTTATAGAAAGATTTTGAAGAAAAAGAATTTGCATGCTATTGAAACCAAAGCAACCAAACCCAGTAAGTCCCACAAAGTGAAAAGTCGGGGAGGTAGGGCAAATGCAGACCTTACCTCTATTCGCAAGGAGTAGAGAAATTATTTCCGCGAAAACCCCCACTTATAAAAAATTGAGAAAAGAGAATTTGCATGTTATTGAAACCAAATAATCAAACCAAACGAACCCAATAAATCTCACACATGAAAGGTCAGTGGAGGTAGGATGTATGAGGACCTTATCTCTATCACAAAGGAGTCGAGAAGAATTTCCGTGAAAACCCAGCTTATAAAAAGATTTTGAGAAAAGAGAATTTGCATCAAACCAAACAAACCTAGTAAATCCCACTGTGAAAGGTCAGAGAGGTAGGATGCATGCAGACTGCACCTCTACCTCAAGGAGTAGAGTTATGTGAAAACCGGTGACTTATAATAAGGTTTTGAGAAAACGGAATTTGCATACTAATGAAAGAACAATACCTATTAGAATGGCTTTTGGCATATCAATCCATTAAAGATCTTCATACCTGCACATAAGGCATGCGAAATTCGTAAAGAATGTATTGGCAAGCAAGAGATGTCATTACAAGCATCGTGTTGATGCCTATAATTGCTCTAAAAGTCACCTTTGAACTTCACTTCTAGCCTAGAAAAAATGGTAATCTAATCCTACGCTCGTATCATAACCTAGTTCAAGTACTTCTATTCAAAATTTGAAGGTCGTCTTTAAGCTCCGTAATCACCCCAAAATATTGCCCACAGTAAGAATCACAGTGTCCTCGAGATGACCTCAAAATGTAGGACAGGCTAATTTCTTCTTAGCTCCTTCATTCTTCCTTATTACACCTAGCAATCTGTGTTCTATGAAGACTACTTGACACTATAATGCCACTAAACCGCCAAAAGCATGCATCATCATAAAGGTAGTAACGCAAAAATCCCCTGATCGAACTACCATTTAATTAAATTAATAATAACTCAAATATCAAGCAACCTTACCTTTTGCTGTCATGATAGCAACAGTTATGTAATGCAAAATTATATATATATATATATATGGAAATAGGAACTGGTTAAAGCACATATAACTTCAGATTCATTTGAGCAGTTAGAGGCAATGGTATTCAACTCATTCATGCTTTTGCGTCCTCATTTTTCAATGTCTTTTGCCTCGATACAGATCTAAAAGCTAGAAACCCTAAGATTTAGATGGCCATCACCCGATACGTTCCCACCCTGGATGATCATCTAGCACAGAAAATAAAAGGCCGCATTAATACCTAACCATAGTTTGTTCCTTATTGGTTCTTTGTTACATACAAGAGAACATGGCAAGATTTTTAACTCGGCTTCTTCCCTATCTTTCAACTAAAGAATATTTTCTGTCCAAATAAGTTTTCAGACACAGTAAGGTCAGTTCTCACTAGCTAAATGACCTCCTAACAAGTGCTTTTTTAAATCAATGACCTTCTGGCAGGTTTCTAGGCATTCTTGTGTGTGGAAGTGACATTCTTTGATTAAGCAGTGACATTCTCAAACCTGTCAGAAGGTTATAATTAAAGGACCGTTCTCCGACTCCCTACGTCCCACAGAATTGTAACTTTGGTTGGACACAATATTTAAGTAAAGTGTTTCACACCAAATGTATTAGATACTCTTCAAAGTAGAGAATCTTTTGGACACAATAAATGATATCAGAAAAATAGGTAAATTAAGACTAATAGTTGCCAAAAAGGGAACTGTTCCAATTTCCATGATATGGAGAGAGAATAGATTTACTGGTCACAAAGATGACATAAATGTCCAATTATATCATAAGTTGGCAACCTATTATGCTAGTCTTTGAGAATTTAACTTATATGTCTGCTATTACATGAATATCATTTCAAGAGCCTCAGCACAAAGAATCTATTGCTAGCAGAAAGGCAAACACTAATTTTTGACTCTTAAGATATAAAAAATTCCATCTCTTAGGGTTTCGATATTTCTGTTACCACGCTACACAAGAATTAAGTTCAAGGAACAATCAAGGATAAGATGCCCAACAACATTTATGCATGCAAATGCAAAGAAAGATTTCATCAGATAAAGATCAATCAAAGATACGATGCCCAACAACATATAAATGCAAAGAAAGATTTCATCAGGTAAAGATCAATATAAAATCACACTTGATAGTTATATTTCACCAATCGAACAATTTGTATGCAGTTTTCTAAGATTCAATAACTGTACACTGCAAAACAAAAACTTTCTGCAACTACAATCTGACACAAATTAGACAAAACATCAAGTGAGATGTCAGAAAGAGAAAGAAACATGAGGCACCTGGGTGAATGCCAACAAAGTTTTATTGTAAAGATAATTATATTAGGAGCACAAGAAAGGAGAGCAAGCATCTAAAATTTGTGAAATGGAGCTGTTATGTGAAATAATGAGAAACAAGGGGCACTTATTCCTTGTTACCGAATCTCTTGGCAATTATTGGACGGACATCTTCAGCGTCTGCCAGAGTCTCTAGGAAGGGAAGTAATGAAATTAATGCACAATCTGCTGGATCATTGAACCAACTCTTTATCGGGATCCCATTATTCACTTGCAATCGGAAAACCTGAAACCACCAAAGATGAATGAGAATATGACAACCTTATAGTCAGATATATACTATCATTTAGGATCTTTTCTTCCCCGAAGGTGCCAATGCAAATATTTCTATATGACTATAAGATGAAGTTGATAATAAGTGCAGATCTGCTTTTATATAAAATAAAGATTAACTGGGAATAAATTTATGAGCACGACAGAAGATGCAAGAATGGCAAAAAAGAACCAGTTCGAATCTAAAAGAAAGCCAAAGAAAGAAAATATATGAAAGATCAACTTATAAAAGCTAACCAGATAGCTACCTGTGGGCAATTATCAACTATGGCAACTTTAGCAAGATCAACACCTAAAACAGTTAGATCCTTGGTATAACAACCATCTGCAAAAATACATGATTCTCTATAAGCTCGACGAGAGATGATTTTTCCATCTGGATCCAGAATGTCCAGAAGTTGTTTCGCGTATATGCTCTGACTGGCCGTGAACACGACAATTTGAAACATTTCTGAGACCCTTTCCAAGAATTCCTGAAGATAGGGCCTCCGCTTTACATAGACAGTATGCTCTTTGAAATCAACAAATACTGGAAAGGTGAAGTCTGCATCATCACAGTGTTGCAATGAAGAGTGGACCAGTGTTTCTGTATGGTAAAGAACAATTATAGTTAATGATACATAATAATGAATTGCAGCTTTAGACAACCTAACAAGCTAACACCTTTTTTTAAGTAAAATGATAAGGCAATCTTGAACATAACCAAAAAATTTCATACCATCTAAATCAAGTACTAGGGTGACAGTTTTTCTTTCCAAAGGCAATACGGTGGGAAGGAAATTTTGTTCCACTTCCGAAAGGTCGGGCAGATTTCTAATGAACATTTGTGGATCGAAGCACTCTACTGGATCCCAGTCAGGATAAGTGTTAACAACCGGTTCCTGATTGCAGGATTTAAGCTGATGGATTGCCAGATATAAATTTGATTCGTCTGAAACCATGACAGGTTCTGAACAGTTTCTGCTGTCATCAGAGTCATTGCAAGTGTCAATACTATCCTCAAGAAAAGGAAGTATCGTATATTCATCATCGAAAAATCTGCTTGACTCATCACATCCATAATCAGGTAGGCAGGTAGCCTCCATGTTGGCGTATGCCAAGCTTCTTTCAATGGGTGTGCTAGAAACAATCATGTCTGAAATGAAGAAATCTGATACATTACAACTTTGATATTCACATGAGTTTCTATCTTTGTCTCCCAGTGATGGCACTTCAAGCTCTTTTTCATTCCCTATATAACCACAAGAAAAAAAGGCGACTGTCAGAACTGATGTAGATGCATTGCCTTTGCGGTCCTCAACATTTAAGGAAAATAGATAAAAAACCATCATAATTTTAAATGATGATAATATATAAATAAAGCCATTCATCTTTACATTGAGAAAAACATCAGAAGTGGATAACAATTTTCTAAAAGGCATGTGGACGACTTTATCTTTTACCTCTATCACCAGAAACAGTTGCTTCATTGCCATTGTCAATGGACTCCAGTATGGGTGAAAAGATGGTTTCTGTGGTTGAAGAGCCGTTGACTAGTGTATGATCCTGCAGTCAAATGAAAATGTAAGTGTGGAGAACTATAAGACTCATATTTATATAAATCATTCTGATGCAAGAGAACTTGAAATCCTGATAAGTGAAGACGGACAGAAATAGCGACATGGATCTATGGGTATAAATACTCTTAAGCAACACAGTTTGAAAAGATTTCTGAACCTGAATACTTTCTTCATCTGGCAATTCACAACAATTAGTTTCATTGACTCTAATTTCCTGAGCAGTTGGTTCACAGCAGAAAGAATCTGCACAAAATAGAATGAGATCAAAGAAAACAAAATCATCAAAAAGATCGAATGCTGTTTGCAAGTCAAATTTATAAAAACCTAAGACATACAGCTACTTGTAAAAATGAGAGAACAAAAGAAACCAACAAACATCAGCCTAAAAAAAGCTACCATTATAGTTCTAAATCCCTCAAAATCAATTTCTTACGAACTAGAGGTCTGAAACAACAAATGGGAGAAAATGCAGCCACAAATTGCATAAAACCCAGGATTAGTTTTCTTTAAGAAAATAAACAAAGATCATATGACAAAAAAAAATGTGAAAACTTCAATGATTAATCAAGACCATGGATGGCTTCTGAAATACAACCACCAACTATGGCCTTCTATGCATTCTGTTTATAGTGCATATGAGAATTAACAGAATGAAACAAGGTTAGCTCTAAAAGAGTAACCTTTAGAACGGTTGGGAAACAAGTTTAACTGCTAACTCAGGTTATTACCGTCCTGTTTGTTAGAAATACAAGTCTCAAGTTCTGCTTCTTGTTGGAAGCTCCTGACTTGTGAGGAAGAGTTCTTGGAAATCTTGCTTGATTTTTGACACACATGGAGGCCATTCTTTTCTCTCAAACAGCCCACGGTTGACTTCATCTTCATCTTTAATGATGGCATTTGTTCTGTACTTTTGATGTGTATAACAATATTGACTCAAAAACATCAGTGAGCAAATAAAATCCCTTCAAACGTCTGTGATAGCCAAAAGGAAAAGAGTTAAATATATTAACATAATATGGAATAACTGCATATTGCCTGTCAATAGACAGGCAAGTGCTGCATAATCACAAAAAGGTTCAAACCGTAAATAACAAATGTTTCAATTTCCAACAGTATCTCCAATAGCAAGTTTAATTATCGAACATATACAGAATAACAAATGTTTTTCAACAACTTTCACCATGTATACAGAATCATACAAGCAGCTGCAAGTTCTTACATGCACAACTTTAGGTCATCTTGAACGTTAAAACACTGTTCAAAAGTTCTTACATGCACAACTTTAGCCAAGTGCTGCATAATCACAAAAAGGTTCAAACTGTAAATAACAAATGTTTCAATTTCCAACGGTATCTCCAATAGCAAGTTTAATTAATCGAACATATACAAAATAACAAATGTTTTTCAACCACATTCACCATGTATACAGAATCATACAAGCAGCTGCAAGTTCTTACATACACAACTTTAGGTCATCTTGAACGTTAAAACACTGTTCTAAAAGTTCCCCCTTAGGGCAGCCTCAGTGACTGCTAAGGCTATGCAGCTCTCACGCTTTGATTAAGCATTTCAAAAAATAATTGACATGGACTAAAACGTGAGGCAACCACTCAGATCCTTTCCAAATAAATATGAAATTGACCACTTAGGAAAGTAATTACATCAAAACAATATGGTATGACAACTATAAATCTCATATGTTTATACAATTCAAAACAATTTTTTTAAATCATAATTATATTTCATGTGATATGAATCATGCTAGAAGGTCTCTTGACTGCCTTGCTCCAGTTAAGGCTTTCTAGAACACTATTTAAAAAACCCACAAGGTTTCAAAAGTAGCGCCCTTTTTGCCTTGTATACGATGGATAATCTTCTTCCATACAACAAAACGACTTATTTTTTTTCTTAGTTCGGGTAAAAACATAAGTTAGAATAATCCTTAAGATATCCTGATTATGCTCAAGAACAAAGACTAGCGGATTTAGGATCCTCAATTAACATGATTAGGGGTGCCCATTACTGTACTAATTTATCTTAAAATTTTAACAAAAAATGAAGTTCTCTTCTGAGAACACACAAGAAATCTATTCAATCTTCCAACTAGTTGATTGTGCTTCTTTGAAACATGACTACGATCGTTATGCATCAAAAGAGCCAGAGAAACAGAGTACTTTTGAATCAAACAAACTTCACACATCTATCTATCTCCATCCAACAATTTCACATATACGTATATCAGAAAATAAAACCACTTGTCAGATCAGAGTGTGTGTGTGTGTGTGGGTGGAATCATCCTCCACCACTCATGATCTTATGAACATGAATTCCACAAAACCAATCACAAACCCTAATTGAGTTTCAACTGAACTTCTCTAGAAACAAATTCCCCCAAGCAATCAATTTGAAAGGCACAGTTTTGAAACAAACAAGATAAAAACTCCTACAAGAAATTAGCGTCTGTGGGGCGGGTTTCGCACCTCACCTTCATGATCCCGTAAACGTAAATTCAATGAAGTCAACCACAAATAACAAAAATCAAACTAGAATTTCAACTAAACTTCATGAAGATCAAAGTCAACATACACAAACGAGACTGATTAAAAAGACGACCATCGTAAACGAAAATTTCAGAGCTGAAGTACTAATTAATCAAGATAAACCCAGGAATTACAACAAACCTTAATCAAGACGAAGCTGGTTATGCAGTTGAATCATCAGCCATGAAGTTCAAAAACATACATATATCCGTAGATTTATCTATATATGATTCAATCAATCAAATGATCCGTAGTAGTGATCAAAGATCAAACAATCACAAACTGATCATTCATCTACAGTAAAGATTATATGTTCTTGATTAGCAGTATCTCAAACCCCCAAACCCAAGTCCTCTCTCTCTCTCTCTCTCTCTCTCTCTGTGATTAACGCGCTTTTATGCAATCTCTCTGTATTTCTCTCTTTATTCTCAAATCCCTATAATATACAAAAATTTCAAATGTAGTACCTTGATCATCTGATATTAACAGAATGGTCTATGAAGAAAAAGTTCTTTAACATTAAAGTCTCACTTGCTACTTATGTTCATCATTAATGTCAACGAGATGGGTTTGGGGTTCTACGTCGTTCTATCTCACATGGGCTAAATGCAGAATTTCAACAAACGAAAGGGCAGTTATTACGGTGTTTTTAAACTTGATTTGATTTAGGAACACATATAAGTTGTAGTTTAGGTCCGAGTAAACATATCATTCATATGTGAATATTATAATTTACAAGCGCTTGCAACTTATTGATAATAATAACTATAATGCCCCTAAAATCAGATTGTAGTGACTATAATACCCCTTGAAAATCATTTCTCGTACTTTCACTTCATTTCAGCTAGGGAACCACGAGTGAAAACCCTGTAATTTAACAACATTAAAACTTCAACATAGTCCAATCATGTATAAATCTTTAACAACAACCAACTTAATTATAAACCAGAATATTAAGAAATGGAAATATTTTTTGTTTAAATATAAACCATTTATTCAGTTTCCCTACTTCACAGAACACAAGAAAAATTATAGACAAGATATGTTGTTTAATCATAGACATGCGGTTTCACTATAAACTCGTTGTTGTATATGTTAAAATGCAATACAAAAAAACATGTGCTAAAAATAAACAAATGAATATAGACTAATGATTATTTTGTAAGTACACTACAAACACGGTGACAGTGATAGCTTATATTGACGCACTTTGATTCTTTTTTTTCATGCTTTAATAAATATGATGTAGTTTATAACAAGGATGGACTCGACTTTGTTAAGCCTATGATTCAACTCAATATGATAGTGTGACCAGTCTTGTCAATTCAAACTTGATTTGAAAGCTTGAAAATATCTATCACATTTAATAAAAACAAGTTTGATTCGACCTCATCTGAAAATTTTACAATAAAACTCGATCATAAACACACACACATATATAGATAGATACATATATGACTTGGAGAACTTGATAAGGATTCGAGTCGAGAATTTTAAAAACATGAACCCGACTTGTATATTTCAAATTCATATTTGTATTTGATAAGCACAAATCAACCCAGTTTGATCTAAGTTTATGATAGTGGTGTATGATTTTCATGCATAAAAAAGTTGTTAAATAAAGTTGAAGGGTTTCTTTTGACAATGAATGAAAGTATTAGGGGTTGTTAAAATAATAAGATTATATAATCTAATAACCGATAAAAAATTTACACGTGTACATGACGGCGGTTCATATCCATCCTCCTCGTTTAAGCGCGTGCTGTCCACTCTCCCAATTCTGACCGCTGGTTGACTTGAAGTCAGGTTTGGGTTCAATGTCCCACTCATCCGATTACAAAAGAAAATTTTGAGTTTTTATCTCTAAGATATCTACAAATTAGAAAACAAAAATCAAATAATTTTTATAAAATTTGTTTTATTTTAGGACGCATTTTAAATATTAAAATAAAACTAAAAATTTGTTTTCATTTTATCTTAAATAACATAAATTCCTTTGTGTGATTTATTTATGTAATTTTGGTTCTCTTAAATTATTTTATGAATTTGTGTGATTTTCAGAGAGAGACAGTGTTTTACTTCGGTTATTGATTTTATGAAATACTAGTATTATACGAAATAATTTATTTAAAAAAAAAAACAAGTTAAGTGTTCTTATCGTTCATGTATCAAATATTAAATTAATAATAATCAATATTACATTTTATATGAAGTTACCATATCTTCTGTGATTTTTTTTAGTGTATATATTGATTGATGATTTATTTTTAAGTAGTATTTCATATAAATATTTTTTTACAAACAAAAGTTAGCCAAAAAATGAGTCATCCATATAAGTTGACACAAATACATTCCTCCCTTTGTATATCAAACTTCTTTCAATCAGTCATCTTCTCATCAATGTGCGGTAACCAACCAAACCAAAATTGAAGTGCAAAATTACTTGAATATAATATAATCGTATCATTACCCTTGGTTGTTCTTTTAATGATTTACTAGTGTTTGGCAGCATGCATTGTACACTGATAAATTTTGTTTCTTTAAAAAATCATGTAACAAAATTAAGATGAAACTAATTCGTTAATTTACTTGTAATGAAATACGAAGTAAAATAATTAATGTATTCCGTTTAAAGGGTGGCCCAAAAACCCAAACCCATATAATCACTTCATCTCACTTTATCATATTCTCACCAATGTGGATAACAAATCCAATACAAACAAAATAATTCTCAAAGACTCAAATCTTACAATATCACATAATCATCCTTAGTTGTTCTTCTATTATATTGATAATATTTTGATATTGAGATATTAATGAATATATATATATATATATATATATGATTTAATTTATTTTTTTATGGATTAAATTTTTAAGAGCGTTGGTCAAAATAAACCAATTTCATGAGTTTGAAGGATCAGTTAAGATGAGCAAATAACATGAGTTGCTACAAAGGCATATCAATCTCTTTTCATATACATCCATTCATCATCAAGCTTTCATTTTTCCATGAATGTGAGACAAATAAAACTCCACCACAATTCAAGATATAAAGATTACTCAGTTATTCGGGTGCAAAACCATTGTTGTGGTTTTTTATTTTTTTTGTTTAAACTTGTTATTGAACTTTGTGTTTTGCAATATATTTACACTATGTGTTTCGCACAATAATTTTACCATTTGGTTGGTTTTGATTCCAACCATGATTATAGATTTCAAACATCCAATCACTCTTTTGTATAGCCTTCATCTTCTTCCGAACTATCATCTTTCAACCAATGTGGGATGATGAACTCAACCTTATTTCAAAATGATTGATATATTACGAAATGAATAGTTTGTCTTTAACTTTTATGTTTTACATGACCTAGGTTTCAGCCCGAGCTGTATGAGGCAGAAACTCGTCTCATGTACGGTTCGGATGGGAACCTAGTTCTTATTTCAATTGTGTATTTTGCATTATAATTTTACCAATTGGTTGGTTTTGATTTCAACCATAGATATACATTTCAAAGCATTCATCACGCTTTTATACATCCATCATCTTCTTCCAAACTATCATCTTTTCACCAATGTGAGATGATGAAAGTCAACCTTTGATATGCATTGATTATTCAAGGCATAAAACACTTATTTCTTTACTTTTAGGTGGTTTATTTTCTTTTATCCCAACTTTGAATTCTTTTTATTACATTATTTTCTTTTTTTTATAGTTGGAGCTAAATTAAGTGATTAGCTTGTCTTTGCACCATTAAAGTAGAAAATTCTTAAACTTGAAATTCTGTGTTGCAGCATTCCACCAGCATTGACCTATTAGAAGTGGCTTTTCGGAAAGACTTTATAATTTCAGTTGCTGCTTAAAGAAGAAGACAAACTTTTGTTAAAATTTTGGTAAGGACCCGAAGATTTGAGTAGAAGACTTTTTGAAATTGTTTTTTGTACTTGATGTGATACTCTCTTTTGCTTTTTCACCTTTTGTCTCCTCTTTTGGAACCATGGTTTTCTCTATATTTTTGTCTTCTTTCTTGGTGTTTTTGTATAAATAGGGTCTCTTGGAGCTCTTTGTGGGATCCCTAGAATGGTATTCAGATATGTATCTCCCTAGCATATTCAAGTTAGTTCTTGAATTTCCTTAAAAAATGTTCTTTAATATATATTGCTACAACATTATTCTTACTTTATTTACTTTTATTGTCATTTAATTTTCGCTCTTTACATTCAGTCATTCACTTTTCGCCATTTATATTTATGTCGTTATTTTATGTTCCTTATATTTAATGTTATTTATTTTTCATAATGAGTAGCTAATTCAATTAGTTTGGATGTAAGACAAAGGATGAAATGTTAAACCGAAGGAAAGTGGACGTTGTTTCGCAATAACAATATTCCACCATTTCGTTCAAGTTTTTATAAAAACCAATGACACTTCTTGATGAGTTGATCACTTTTGAGAGTGTTAAAGTGTCATGGTCTTAGAGATGAACCATTGAATGCACGTCAACTTAAATGATATAAGAGGTAGATTTGAGAAATTTGTCGACAAGGAGACTTGTCATTTATATCTTTCAAACTAATTAATTCTTGACAAGTTAGTCGCTTGTTAAAAGTGTTAAAGTGCGGTAGATTCATAGATGAACTATCTAGAACACATGCCAACTTGAATGATATGAGAATCGACTCGAAAGAGTGGATATTTTTTTTAACAAATGGATTTGTTTATCCATATATTTTGAAGACACCATTTCGTCACTATCCCTGGTCCAAATACCTCATAGAGATATGAGTTGAAAGCTATAATGTAGTGCAATGGTGGAAGTCCGAGAGTAATATCTTCAAAATATATGATGGAACTAGTTATGGCCTACTGCATGCTGTAGCATTCCTACAAAATTATCTGCTGAAATTTGTGTTTATATTTCACCACAAGTCTTACACCCATGCTACCCTTTTATATTATGTTATTTCATCATTGTTTACTCAGATCCAACTGAAGTTTTCATTTTCATTATCTGAAATCATTTCTTTCATTGAACTCAACCTTATTTCAAGATGATTGATATATTATGAAACAAATAGTCTTTAACTTTTATGTTTTACATGACCACTTTTATGTTTTACATGACTCGGGTTTCACAGCTCGAGCTGTATGAGGCAGAAACTCGTCCCACGTATGGTTCGGATGGGAACCTAGTTCTTATTTCAATTGTGTATTTTGCACTATAATTTTACCAATTGGTTGGTTTTGATTTCAACTATAGATATAGATTTCAAAGCATTCATCATGCTTTTATAGATCTATCATATTCTTCCAAACTATCATCTTTTCACCAACATGAGATGATGAAAGTCAACCTTATTTCAAGAATTTGAGAAACAGTCAAA